ATTATATATATTATAGAGCTCTATTTTCTTTTCCTTTTTTTCAGGTAGGCATGTAATTGTGTATGTTGATTTCTCAAAATTCAATTTTCCTGATATTGTCAAACCTTTTGGAACTGATGGCGGACGCTGTGCGTCTGTGTACAGACAGGCCTATAATATGGTGTAACATATTATCTATATTGTTATGTAGCTATAATGTTCACATGTGTTGCGGTGTTTAAATACACTTCAGATTAACCTATCGCGGTAGTCAAAAATTAAGCCCCCCCCCACCCCACTTTTTTAATTTCATAAACTGATAAGTAGCACACTCCTTAATTAGAGCCCTGCCTGTAGAATTCTGTGAGACCTGCTTATGCAAATTACAAAAGAGCTTCATTCGAGCAGATAAAAGCATAGGTGCATATAAGGCCTTTTCCAAAATAAAAAATTCTGCCTTTAAAATCAAATCTAAATAACTTTTTGACTTTTTGAGTGCCACCGAAAGCGCTAATTTTGACCCCCCCCCCCCCCCCCCCCATGAATGATTGTTGTTTTTGTGGGGGGGTTTCAATTTTCAAGCGTCAGTTCTGGAGTAGACGCTGATGAGCATTGAAACGTTTGTTTTTAATTTTTTAACTTAAAAAAAAAAAATTAGTAGATCTAAATCTGGTAATAAATCAGTTTTGTACTGAACAAACACACATTATTTCCCAGTTTACACTACCCCGTATTATAAACAATAACAACTAATGAATAAGCAATTACAAATCAAGAAAGAAAGATCTACGACCCAGATCTGATGCGCGAAGCGTGACGAACGCAGCATACACGCAACGCGCACGCATGTGTCATCATTCGGCCAATAATCTGAAGCAGAAGTCAACCTGAACTGGGCCAGGCCACGGGGTGGGGGGGGGGGGAGGTGTAGCCTACAGGCTCGAGAGCGACGTACTTTTGTGTGCTCTACGTCATCATCTCGTGTGTATTTATGACTTTTTTGTTTCCTTCAAATTACAGACATTCTGCTTCGACCGAGAGACTCTGCTTGTACTCTCAGTGATTTCATGCTTAAGTAATAAATTTGGGATGCCTTCAATGAAGTACAAGTTTACAGACACACGCAAAATAGAGGGTGTGTCTTCGCCTCTCTCAGCGCAAGACCTGGTTTATTTTTAGAATTCGGCCAGTCGTTCGCCAGCGCCGCGCCGTCACGCGTAGTGACGTCATGGATATGTGTGTACACGGTGCACAGATCAGAGCCAAAGTGTTTAGTTTGTACAGGCATTTTTGGAATCTGGCATTTGACATAGTGATTATTGAAACATTAAACTAATTGTCTGCAAAAGTGTACTAAAATTCGATCGTTAGAATGTTTGAAATTGGCGAAAATTATATATAGGTCAAAAGGTTAAAGGTCACGTGGACCCTTGTCTTTCAATTTGTAGTCCCCGTCGTTCACAGGAACATTACATGACGGTGAGTGTTTTGTGAATATTATTTCGCTGATAAATTTTGTAGTTTCACGACGGACGTTGTCAAACCTACGTTCACGGGCATCCCTATGAGGGGTGTCCCCAATAGTTACTACAATTATGTATCTATATAAATGAGTTTTTACATTATTGAGGTCAGAATTTTCCCACTGCAAACATGCATAATTTTATGGAGCTCATCAAAGCTCAAAAAAGCCGCCAGTGGGTTGTCGGACTGTGTCAAATTCTGGTCCGTGATGAACTGAGAGTAATGCACTGAATGAACTACATGTTCTCAGCTGAAGACGCTGCAATTGATATTATTGAATCAACAAGACATGTGTTCAGCAGGCCATTGATAGTACTAGAGAACAGCGTTCACCAAGAGTTACAAAAATCATTGGCATTTGGTGGGGGATCCATTTTTTAAATTTTTTTTAGGGGGGGGAGGAGAAACGAGACCTGATAGTGATAGCCTACCCGCGACGAGTAGGCTACAGATTATTGACTCTGGATCAAGACCAAGAGTCTATCTAGAATCTAGTCTAGAGTATGGAAACAAAAGGCCTAAGTTCTTGGCCCAGGTACAAGATGCACTTCTTGAGGTACAAAATCTAACTGAATATTAGATTCTAGATCTAGATCTTAGATTTAGATCTAGACTCTTAAGTTTCTCAAGTCACAAAAATACTGGGGTTGTGATCTGATCTAGAATCTAGCCTAATCTACTAATCAGTCTGATCTGTCTGTCAGATTCAGAGCATGCAGGATTAGCAATTCAATGTAGATTTCTACTTGCTAAAAAAGTGTCTTTTAGATTGTCTGAATTATAAGTCTACAATCTATTCTATCTAGACTATAGATCAAGACCTTCTAGCTTTCACAACTGGCTGTGTGATCTTACTGTTAATTTTATCATACCGGTACACTTAAAATCAACTTTTAAACGATGTTATGTTCAGGGACAAGATTCTGGAACTTGAGAACTACATCTAGAATCTATTAGCAGGACTAAAAGCATTCACAGAATTATCGAATAAAAATGTTTATGGATTTTTATACAGTGAGGTCAAAAATTCTATCAATGTTGCACTTTGCACAACAGTTTGTATCAATATGAATATATATATATATGTCTTACCATATATATAGATCTAGATCTAGATATATAATCATATTTTTCCAAAACAATTGGGGCTAGAATCTAGCTAGATTCTAGATCTAGATTAAAAACACTTCTCTATGAATTAATTTATAAATTACTATAAAAATCTCCGCCATGTGGAAAATGTGATTATTCACTGCACTTCCTGCTTCTCACACACATTTCTACATGCATGATGACCTATCTCTATATCACAGCTCGTCAATTTCAAGGAATAATGTTATATTATAGGGAATACTTTTTTTAAAAAAGTGGCTATTCTCACCCGCCCGGAAGTTCTCGCAAGATCAACTCCTCCCCTCTTCTCTCTCTCTCTGTCTCTTTCTGAATACTGTCTGTCGGTGTGGACGATCAAATTGACCAAAACAAAGTTTAAAAATGATGTTAAAACACAAACGTAAATTAATTTGGTTGTCTACAAAGATGCTACGGCTATTTAACTTTTCGAATCGAGCCGAACTACGCGGGTCGCCATTTTGTTTTGCCCGGAAATTATCGCGCTACTCCTCTCTCTCTTTCTCTCTCTCTCTCCACTGCCCACAGACAAAATTGTACGCTTTCAGTAGGCTACAGTTGTAATGAAGTAATGGAACGTTTGTTCAAGGCACAGAATTCTACAATTTTTCTGTTATCACAGTGTAGAATTCTGTGGTTTAGGGTGAACGCAAAATTTGGTGAACGCGCACCGGGTGAGAATAGCCACAAGACTCGCCTGCACTATTCTCACTCCGGGTGAGAATAGAGGTGGCCTTTTCTTTTTGGCCGGCACTATTTCTCCGAATGTTCGGGAAAATAAAGCTAGGCACTAGATCTATATCTCAGAACGTTCGGGAAAATTAAGCTAGATTTAGGTACTAGATCTATTTCTCCGAACACTCTGAAATCACATCCTTTCCCGCAAATTTAGGATATTATATAGATTTATAATTATAGTAAGTATAGGCCTACCAAAGATTGTTCGTATACAATATGATTCAATCGGTAAAACAAATGTCCGCAGTAAATATTGTGTGGTATTAAGTGCGTAAGTGGAGAGTGAGGAGCGTGAGTGTGTTTGTTTTTCGGGCTTTATTTCAGCCTTTATTCCAGCCTTTATTCAGTAACGGTTCAAAGTATACAAAAATAGAAACACAGGATCCATTCACTCCAGGGCACATGAGTCGTTCCTCTCTTTCAGTTTCACTCATTCATTCAATACCCGTGTTCTCTCTCGCGGCTCATCCCCGTCCGCATGACTTTCACACCCCACCCCTCCCTCCAGGTACACACAAGGAAAATGTCACTCATTCCCTTGCACCCTGCGAACCATGGACAATAATATTAGCAAAACACTGCCTTAGCCGCATTCCTTTCGTTCGTGAGCTGTGGACCAGGCCAGGGGGGTGGGTGTCGTCGCCTTGTAGTTGCTGTCGCCTGTGGATACACTCGTACATTCTTCCTTTTACCTGCTCTGTCACTCACACTGTCTCTCCATCCACAGCTCAGCTCGTCATACGTTCAAAAGTTGCCCACTGGTCATGTTTAGTTAGTGTGTGTACATGTGCATGATGGTGGTGGGTGTTAATGAAGGTTGTCTGTAGGCGGGCTTGCCATGCGGTGTTCCTTCCCAGACCAGAGGCAGAATTATAAAAGTTGGCGCCGAACTCCCGCAATAAATAGGCAAAAAATCACGAGGCCGGAAACCGTTCGGAGAAATAAAGATTGGCACTATTTCTCCGAACATTCGGAGAAATAGTCACTTCGGTTTGTTTTTGCACTAAAGGTTCTCAAAATATGTTTTAAAAAAGCATAATATCGCGATTCCCCCCCCCAAAAAATGACGGAACTGCTTTTAAAGGTATTATAATTATATTGCCTCAGCTGTAATCCTTTAAAACGTTTAAACCACTCACTTGGATTTGTAAAAAATTAGTATTTGTTAAGGAATTTTCTTAAGTTCTGTTGAGGCTAATTGAGTCATTGTAAGCTGTTTGAGTAGTGGAGGAAATATTTGACAATAAAAAGTATAAGTTGCGCCGTGAATTTTTGACAGCACTATAGACATTATTTTCAGGAAAACCTGTTCATGTAGGCCTAATTGAAAGTAGGACCTGACCAATTCAATTTAATTCTTTGAATGCAAGGTTCATCCTACGTATTCTACTTAAAATGTTGTGTTTTACCAAGTCTTAAATTCTTTTTTTTTTTTTTCTTTAGGTTCTTCTGATTTCAATCTCTATGCCTACACATTGAATGTGCATGGTATTGGATGGTGTTGCTGGTAGGTCTAACTTTCCTGTCCCTCCTCCTCCTTTTTATAGCCTGAGGTCACCAGTGCAATACAAGTGTGCTACAACTCCTTTCAATGAAAGTTGAACATACTTTTTAGATCTTGTTGTGAGCGTAAATAAATACATGTATTTTTTAAAGCCCAGGAAACATTTACCAATATACCTATGCCCAGGAAACATTTACCAAATACCTATGCCCAGGAAACTTTGCATGTGGCACTTCTGCAGGCCAGCGAACAAACAAAAAATGAAATACATGTATTTAAAAATCTTGATCCAGTAATAACATTTTTTTTCTCCTTTTGGGCCTTAATTAAAAACAGTTCTTTGGATGCATACACACACAGAATCACTAAAATAAATGACTTACAGTAACTTTGCCTTCAAATTGCTAATTTTGAGACTGTGACACCTTCCTGCCCTCACATTTCAGCTTTTAAAGCTTGAGGATTTCATCCCTCTATTGTCTAGAGCTCTTCATATGCTCCATGTAATCTGGAAAATGACTCACTCCATCTTTTCAATCGCCTTTCTTTAGTGTACGTTAAAGTGCATTTGTGAGGCAGCGTGGTGAAGTCAGGCGCTCATCAAAACATGCAAAGTGAAGAAACTAGCTTTTTTCCGCAGGTTTGGGAATTTTTGTAGAATTTTTTTTTTTTGGCTTCACACCTTTCATGCATTTCTGTGTGGATTGTCCTGAAAACAGTTGATTTAAGGCTTAAGAGATGCAAATTTTCAGTTTCCATGGGCTCTCAAGCTTAGGAAATGACTCAGCTTTAGCAGCCATCTTCTCGCTAATTTTACCTCTGAAACAAGCCCACCCCTCCTCCTTCAATTACCAATATCTTGACTTGTATCCAAGATAAATTAGATATTGTTTTCGTCCAAAGCAAGGCAAATGGACAAGCTTTGAGATGATAGTAAGTAACTCCATGTGCCCCAAATTGACAAGAGCCTCATTTCACCAGGTTGCCTCACATTAACTAACTGTAAAACTTTCACATGGTAGAAAGATACCAAAGGAAAGGTTTTTCACAGTACCAAGTATACAGTGGAGTACCGTTAAACAGAACATGGACATGGTGAATTTGAAAATGTGGTAAACGGAAAGAAAATGAAATCCTCTATTTTTTCTTCATTATATATGAGTAAACTCTTTAAACAGAAAACAGGGCTAAACTGAAGGAAATCAGGCGATCTAGATTTCTCTAGGCAGACTCCCATGCATATATAAAAGTTGGAGTTTTGGTACAACTGATTGTATCTGCAGAGCGTTGTGCTGCACTGAAGTACAATCTTTGATAATCTTTTATTGTAATTATTGGTAAATGTGATAGCATGATTGATGATCAAATGTGATTATTTAAATGACAGAGTTTTTTGTCACCAGGAATTTTTTGGTACTGAAGTAATTTTTGTCCAAGTTTATATTGATCTTGAATTTGTTTTGTCCAACAGAATGATCTTTGGCAATGAGGAAGAAACGACCAAAAGGTGTTCCACCAAATTCAAAGAAACTTTTCTCCATGTTACATTAGCTGTGGTAAGATATTTTACTTTTTCTTTCTGTTTATCTGTTCTTGTTTCACTGTCACTCGATTGAAGCTGTCAAAAGTGGAGTCGCAATTTTGTGAGGTTGAAAATAAATTAGTTTTGGGTAACTTTTGCTGAACGCACGCTGGCAGTTTCAGGAAAGGGTTGGGTAAAATGAAGCATGAAAGGCAAGGGGTGGACATGACTACTGATTGTGATGGATTAATTTGGTGACAAGCTCTCATCTCTTTCTTCACATACACACACACACACACACCTGAACTTGTGGCTGAGCTCTCATTCCATCATTTGGACAGACTCTCAGGCAGATAATAGGTGGGGCTGATCACAGATTAGGGGGTGGGGGGAGGGGTTCTTAGGTTCAAGAAAGTGGTTTGCACAGGGAGGGTTCCTGCACCCTCCTCCTTGACTTCAAGGAGTCCTTGAAAACTCTCTGAATTTGAGGATCCTCCTTGAAAACTTCCTGAATTTGAGGATTTATTCCAGTTCTAGTGCCAAACTGATCCTAAATGAATTGTTCATGCATATATTTATATATATTTGTATTACTATCGTGTAAATGCAAATGTCCTTCATCTAAGTTTAAGTTGATTGTCAGGTTCAGTCGGTAAAAAAACAACCTTGTCGACTGCACAGATGGCTCTTCTGGAAAAGGAAAAGTTGTAGCATGCAAACAAATTTTTCTACCTTAATTTTTCTGTTTCCTGCGCTAATTTCAGCTGGAAGTTGAGTGGTGCTGGTCTGTGATGGGAGAAAGAATGGGCCGGACTAATGCACGTCTAGTGTACACGACTTGAGGGAGGGTTGTTTCTTTGTTTTGAAAGCCACCTTTTATATCTATAATGTCTGCTAGCTATTGTTGAAAATGGGAGCATTTGTTGAACTTAGTATTCTTAACAACTTCTGCAAGAAAGTAAAACCCAATGAACCCAAGACTCTCAGCCACCACCCGGGCTCCCAGGCAGAAGTCAAGAAAAACAGGCATGCTGTTAGTATTGTGTTAGTACTCGTGCAAAACAACAAATAAAGTACTAAAATTGTTCCAACTGTCCTCTCTCCTGTACTGCTGCTTGGTGGGCCGATCTGTTTGTCTGTCTACTTCTGGGGAGGTGCCAGGTCTATAAATAAGTCATGTCTGTTTACTTCTGGGGAGGTGCCAGGTCTATAAATAGGTCAAGTCTGTTTACTTCTGGGTAGGTGTATATATAGGTCACCCCTAACGCCGAAATATGGAGGTTTCGGAGCATGGACATTTCAGCTGCCCCTGATGTGTGGGGGTTTCGGGTCCGTTGGGCACCCTGGTGTACGGGGGTTTCGTTTCCGTTGGGCTGAAGAATTTCTGAACGAGAGTAGTGAATCCGAGAGGCTTATTCAGTATTCAGATTGAGTAAAGTCTGGACAAATGTTCCCGCATCCGATCCGGACTTTAGGGACTGCCTTGTTAGTGTTTTCTCCTGTACTTTGGACTCTACACTTTTGATTTTATATGATGTTTTTTCTCTGGTTGCAGATCTCCCAGTGATAATATGGATGCGGATGGATCTGGATTCCCGTTCCCGCAAGGGTCAGATTTTCCTATGTATGTCTGTTCTGCTTTCTCGCTGTGTGGTTGGTTGTCTTCAATGTTTGCTTTGATTGTTTGAGTTTTGTTCTGTAAACTACTGCCCGGTACCGAGAAAAGATACCGCTCGTTGGCTTGACATAACGAGTAGCGAGAGTGAGAGGTGTCGACGGAAAGAGCGGCACAGCCAGCGAGAAATGACACGCAGACAGAGTGTCACCCATCACCGTGCCGTCCTGTGTCTGAAACTGAAAGGGAGGGGAGAGGGTGGCGAGACGAGGCAAGTGGGGAGTTGATCTAGGCCTAGGTCTCCCAACCTTCCTTCACCACCTGCGCCTGTGCAACAGGGTTAGCCTAGTTTAGATCCCTGCCACGGCCGGCCTTCTTGCTGAGCGAGCTGTCCGTGAACAGCACGAGAAGAGAAATTGGTCGCGAGACGAGAAGGTCTTTTCGCTCGGGAAGAAAAAAGCACTTCCCGCCCGTCTCTACTACTAAACATAAATGGGTGATTAATTGTGAGCAGTTGGCGGGTGGTGTAGTGCTCTGGTGTGGTTTGCTCCTTCTTTCCTATCAGACAGTTATCTTCCTTATCTCTCCACACTCCTCCTTCTTTCCTGTCAAACAGCTATCTTCTTATCTCTCCACACTCCTTCTTTTTGTGTTTGTCAACTGTCTAACACCCCTAAATCTTTGGCACTTAAAAGACCTAATTGAGTTGAAAGTGCTGTAAAACCCTTACTAAAACAACTAGACATGTGTAGGCCATTTTGAAAGATAGCTTTTGATCCAATGGTATGGGTGGCGAAAATGCGATGCCATAGACGGACATGCGTACATCTAAGCGTGGCTTGTTCCTTCCTGGGGCCATGAGTTGAAGTGTTGTTAACCCTATACGTACGTCGTGTTTTACTATCATATCCATACGATGTGGGGAACTCTGTGCCACCACTTTCCAAAGAGAAAATTCACTCGTTAATCCGATCCGTACACTTTGCATAGCGGTCTGTCAAAATGAATTTTTGAGAAATACTGAAAATTTCAGAGATCTCCTTACTAGAAGTATTCTAAAATGTGAAGAATACAACCCCGGGGGTGCAAAAGGACCCCAGGGCGTACGGATAGGGTCAAAAAGTGGGAAGACTTTAATTCAATGGGCTTTCAAAAGTCGATGCTTGTTAGTACGTTGTTTTTGGCTAATTTGTTGCCTTTTTACTGTTTGTTAGTTTGCTGGTGAAAGCTGTATTCCTTGCCCTTTGCTTTCTCCATGCAGTCTGTACCTTGTGTCTGTGTGTGTACCTTGTGTCTGTGTCTGTACCTTGTGTCTGTGTCTGTACCTTATGTGTGTGTCTGTACCTTGTGTTTGTGTCTTGTGTCTGTGTCTGTACCTTGTGTCTGTGTCTGTACCTTGTGTCTGTGTCTGTACCTTATGTGTGTGTCTGTACCTTGTGTCTGTGTCTTGTGTCTCTGTCTGTA